CCTTCCCCTCCCGCCCAGCCCCCCTCATGTCCTGAGAGTCAGCCCCACTGGGCGCTCTCTCCTGGCTGCAGGACACCGTCACTTCCCCCGACTCCCATCAGGAGCGGCCCTGGCACCCCACGTCCTGTCCCCGTCCCCGGATCCCAGTGGCCAGCACCCGGCCGTCGGTGCCTCTGCTGGGGCCCTTTCTGGGGCCGTGTGGTCGCTGAGCTCCTTTCTCCACCTTCCGTGGATATTCCCACAAGCTCAGCTCACAGGCTTCCTGCAGGCACTATTTTTCCATTTCCCTTATCTTTAAATAATACGTTTTGTTACATATACAAATGGTCTGTTGTACACTGTGCTGGGCCTCAGCTTTCTCGTCTGGAAGAAGGGGGCATGTAAGAGTCCCCGTGCAGGGCACTGTGAGGGCTGGTGCCACAGGAAACCCAGGGAGGGTCTTGGCTGAGCCCTGCTCTGTCCTCTGATCTGTGCTCTTATCTGTGCTCTTAGCAGCCACTATGTAGGGGGGCTGTTGGCTTTGAGCCCTTTCAGTCGAGGGCTTCTCCAGGGGGCTCAGCACTCCTCAGACCAAGGGTGTGTGGCTCTGACACTGTGGGCTGGGGTCCCTGGGCAGGCAGGCAGTGTCCCCTCACTACGAGCCCCAAGCCTGGCATGGGACAGGTGTCCAGTTGTGGGGCTGTCTAGCGGCCATGGGGGCTGCAAGAGCCTCAGCTCCTGGGAGCTTCTGTTTGTAGTTAAAAAAAAAATTTTTTTTTTGCGGGGGGTCCTTTCTAAGATCTCTGTTTGGGGTTCTGTACTTGCAGCCCTAACCTGGAGGCCGAGCCCTGGGTCCCTCGTGGTAGAGGGGCTGTGGTGTAGTGCACGCATTATTGAGCACAGCTGTCGGTTTGCCCAGGTGAACCCGATTCTTGGCATGGGGGTGGGGCTGGCAGTCGTAATGGAGGGTGGTGTATAGTAGGAGAATGGGCAGATTTCCCCAGATTTAGAATGACTCAGAGCAGGCATTTGATGCTGAGCAGAATACTAGCATGTAAGGAGTAGCCCAAATTTATTTTGAAGGGGCATTCCCAAAAAGGGAAGGATAAAGTTCCATCTTGACAGCGAGTACATCTGAGAACATCGGTTCATTATCATAGTAGTTCTTGTAAGAGCTGTACCAAAAATTAAGGATATGGGGCTCACTAAAGGTGATCCAAATATTTACCTAAAGTAAGAAGACTTTTAGAATTAAAAACTATTATACCATATCCCTTCCCAATTCCGACCTCACTGATGTCAAGTTGGTACTGAAACCGGCCATGGTGGGAGTATGTCCACTGTGGAAATGGGCAACCGCTCCAAATCAGAGCTTTCCCCCAGGGCTGGCTCTTAGGATGTGCCAGCACACTGCTGCCTCTAAGATGCACTTACGGAAAAGCATTTGTGCATTGCTGCAGTTTAACCAAGTTATCTGAGTGACCGCTGGGGGAACTGCCCCTAGCATGGACTTGGTGGGAGACCCCTCCTAAGGTGCCCACAGGGACCTGTGTGGCCTGAAGGACGATCCTGGAACCAAGCGATGGCAATTTTTCCAGGTTCACCAGGTCTTCTGAAACCCACACACTCAGTTTTCATCGCCTTTTATAAAACAGGCGTGTTTAACTGTAAAATTAATTCTTCATTCATTACATAAACATTTTCCAACACTACTTGAATCAAATAGGTGAATCATGTAGGTCTCTAATTTCATATAAACCTTCCTCCTTGGCTGGGACCTGGGATCCTGGCCTTTTATGACCGTCTCACAGGCATTTGTTGAGCACCTGCTGCATGTGGATGATCATTGGGAGTTCATCACCCCCTCTGTGGCTGGGCGTCCACTGTATACCCCCCACACAGGAGGCATTCATCAGGCACCCTCTGTGTGCTGGACATTCAGCCCCATCCCTGCCCCAGGGCCTGGGGGAATGGATGCTAAGGATCCGTCATGCAGTTGTGTCAGCCTGGAGCTAGGATGAGCCCTCCCTGTAGTGGGGGAGATTCTGGGTCCTTGACTCTGTCCTGGACACCCTGGACCCGGTCAGGTGGATGGTGAAACTTCCGAGGGGGGAGTGCCCGAAATAGGCGGCATCGGGCACAGGGAAGTCACCCACAGAGGCCAGGAGAGAGGACGCCTGGCCCAGAGAAGGATGGCCACTGCTGGGTTGTCACTGTTCACAGTGGGGACACCCTGCAACCCGCTGAATCCCCAGCAGCCCTGGGAGGACAGAGACGCATGGCCGGCGTGCGAGGTGCAGAGTGGCGAGTGTGGACACCTGGGCTGGACATGAGGCCGAGGGCCGGCACCAAGCGGAGGGGGGTCTTCTGGCCAGTCTGAGGTGAGGCCAGTGTTCGGGAGGCTCTCTCCTGTGTTTTCCTTGAGGCACGGCAGGCGTGTAGGGCAACGGGCAGCTGGCGTGGGGGTGGGGGACCCGTGACGGGGTTGCTGCAGTTGTGCAGATGGGGTGTGGCATCATCTGGGGGTACAGGCAGGGAGATGAGAGCCCCAGGCCTCGGGAATGGTGGGGGAAGCATGGCTCCTGGGCTCTTGGCTGCCTCCCTCGACAGATGGCGGGACTGTCCCCCAGGTAGGGGACGCTGGGAGAACAGGCTTGGCCAGGGGAAGACTGGGCTGGGGTCTGAGTTTTGCAGGGAGATAAGGCGACAAGTGATGAGGCGGTGGCCTGAGGAACGAGGTGGCCTCCCACCATTGAAAACCCATTCAGGAGCATCAACAGTGGTTGGCCAAGTCAAACTTAGGTCCTCCGGAGTGGAACGGAGAGCTCTCGCTGCCCGTGCAGCCATCCCCCCCCTGGGCCGAGGGAGCAGGGCCTGGGGGCCTCCTGGAGGACACCAGGGAGGCCAGGGGAGGAAGGGGAGCCCTCCGGCACTTAGGCGAGGGGGAGTGACTCAAGACGTCCCCCTCCCGGTGGTGGGGGAGCAGGGCTTCCCGTTGGTCCAGGTGAACGTTGGACCACCTGGACCGCAGCCTGATGGCTGGGACTCAGGAGCACCCCCGGGCGGAGCGCTGTGGGGGTGCTGTGCCGGCGTCTGGGCCTCCCTGTGTTTGCTGTCACGGTTTGGGGAACATGCCCCACCCTGTCCTCTCACGGTGGCTTTATTATTTCAGAATACGCTGCACTTGGCTACCGACATGCCAAGCTGGAACTCGGAAAGCAAACACTCCGGATGTCACATGTATTCAAAAAGCAGAGATTAGAGAATTGAGTGTATGAAGAATAAATACACCTTAAGCTAAGCTTTTAAAGTCGCTGCACAGAATTTAAGAAGGCTGCAGGCTGCCCACCTGGGGAAGAGGCCAGGGGCACTGAGTGGCATGTGTGAGTTTGTGTGAGATCGTGAATGCATGTGGGTGTGCAAGCCTGTGCTTGGTGGCTGAGGGTGTGTAAAAGGGTGTGAGTACATGTGTGAGGGTGAGTGTGGGGGCTGGGCAGGTGTGTGACAGCGTGAGTGCACGGGTGCGTGTGTGAGTACAGGTGTGAGTACACATGCAGGGTTGTGCAAGTGTATGTACACAAGCCCGCCTGGTGGGGTTGGTGCAGCGCAACTCTCCATGGCCGGCTGTGTGTCCCAGTAACCCAGGAGCCAGGTCAGGGGGAGATTGGACAGTTTCCATCAATGGGGAACCAGAAGGAGGATCTGGGCTGGTCGGTGGGCTGCTGTCGTTTCCTTTTGACCTCTGAGTGGGCGCCTCTGTTCACACATCCCTGGTGCGGGGACAGCCCCTGCCCGGTTATGCAATTCAGTTATCAGTCAGCTATTTCAGTGCTGTCCCCTGTTTTTAGAGGAGCTCAGACTGGGGTCACCTTTGCGTAACAAGCTGTGCATTCACATGCTTTGAAACCGGGAGTGAGGATTGGGGAGACCCGCCGGGGTGGGGGTGGGGAGGAAAGGCCCAGACTTCTCTGTAGCGGCCGTTTGTGGCTGATGATTGTTATGCTAATCACAGATCAGTTTCACTTGCTCCCCAGAAAGAGGCTCTTTGAGGCATTCCCTTGGGTAATTGGAAGGATTTTCTTACCCTTACTTACTGAGCTCGCTAAAATCAGGAGGCTGAGGTCGACCTCCCTGAGGAACGGGCATGAGGTCAGCCCCGTGGGCAGGAGACACAGGGTCTGCAGGGGGAGAGGCAGGCTGCCTGCAGCATTCCAGGTCTGGAGCTGGGCCAGGGGGCCGGGCACCTCAGTCTCCGTGCTGACCCGTCCAGGGATGTGAGCTGGCCCAGCAAGGGTGGTGCTGACCCATCCAGGGATGTGAGCTGGCCCAGCAAGGGTGGCTTCTTGGCTGTGGGGTTTCACCTGACACTGTGGAGCTTCAGTCCTGGGGGGCATGCGGGACCCACCGCAGCACCCACCCCCAGCAGGGTGGTGTGTGGGGAGGGTGGCTGCGCAGCAGGAGGCCGAGGCAGTGGCCTGCGCACGGTGTGGTCCTGGCATGCTCCCGAGTTTGGGTCGAGGTTCTGAGGTGCTCAGCTGTACAGCGGGCATGGGCATAGGGGGCGGGCACGAGGGTCTCTCGTTATCCCCGTTATTTCTCAGGAATTCTCTTGTAAGAGAGAGCCAGGCCAGCAGAGGGTCAGGGTGTGGGGCTGGGTGCAGGGAAGTGTTCATTGCTGTGCATTCCTCCACCCCCGGGTAAGGCAGGGCCTGGGACACAGTGAGCGGGGCCCAGTCACCTGATCGCCGTGTTGAGGACGCCTCCCAGGGGGTGCTCACTAGGGGCCGCCAGCTCTGGATCACCCCGGCGCTGGGTGTTGCCGTCCAGCGAGAACCCCACACCTGCGGGTGCGGCTGACTCGCGCGGCGCTGAAGGCCCCGTGCCCCAGGGTCACTCCCATGGCCAACGTTGGCTGCGTCCCTTCAGCGGTGGATTTTGCGCTTGCGTTCCACGGCCTCGGCCGGCTTGCTCCTTCCTGGCCACCTCTGTGACCTCTTCCCCCCTCTGCTGTCTTCCTCCAGGCGAGCACTGCGAGCTGAACACGCGCTCGGGCCGCTGTGCCAACGGGGTGTGCAAGAACGGCGGCACCTGCGTGAACCTGCTCATCGGGGGCTTCCACTGCGTTTGCCCTCCCGGCGAGTTCGAGAGGCCCTACTGCGAGGTGACCACCAGGAGCTTCCCGCCCCGATCCTTTGTCACCTTCCGAGGCCTGAGGCAGCGTTTTCACTTCTCCATCTCCCTCACGTAAGTGTGGTCCCCCCCACTCCCGTGCAAGGACCCCTACTGTGAGAGTGTTAAGGGCGTCATGTGGCGCCTTGCTTCCTACCTAGGCAACGACAGCACCACTGTCCCCTCGTGGCCTCTGATGGCCAGTGCTGGCTGCAGGACCAGCTACCTAATCTGCAGGGCCCCGTGCAGACTGGGAACATGGGCATCTTGTTCAAAAATGAGGGATTTCAGGATGGCAGCATCAGACCACTGAGGGGCGAGGGGCCCCGCATGACTGCCCAGGTCACATGCCCACGAGCCAGCCCCGGCTCTTCTTGCTCACTGCCTGCTCACTGCCAGAACTTGGGCGTCTCTGATGTCCAGTGGCCAGAGGTGAAGGGACCAGGGACCAGTCAGCTGGGAATCAGGCGGCCTCAGCAGTTCCTGCTTTGCAGCCTGTGAGCTGGGTCACCAGGTGGCTGCCAGCCCCCTCCTGCCCTGGTTCCTTAGTGTGTAACACAAGGGTGTGTGCTTACTGTGTGCTGTGCTCGTTAGTCTGACACAAGGGTGCGTGCTTACTGTGTGCTGAGCTCATTAGCTTATTGGTGCATCTTTTTATCCAATAGAATTTAGATTTAATTTTACACTAAAAAGTCTATCATTTCCACTTTAAAGACGTGTGCCCGGTCTAGCGTAGTGGAGTGGGGTCTGTTTACGTGTGGTCACCCTGTGCTGTTGTTTGGGGCCCTGGGGGCCAGTCAGCGGGCAGATGTGCTGCATCTTTGCTGCCCTCCGAGCAGGCTGCCCTTTGAAGAACAGGGCGTCTCAGGCTGGATGGAGCGGGAGCCTCTTGTGGGGGCCCTGCCCCTGATCGGGGAGGGGCACAGCGTAGCCAGCAGGCCCTGTGGAGCACGTCCCAGAACAGTCGGAGAGCAAGGCTGGCCTTGCGGGTAGGTGGCCAGAAGGCACCGCCACTGCTCTCACACCCAGTGGGGCCTGGAGTGTCAGCTCAAGGACAACCCTGGGTGGGTCCCTGGCTGGTATTTCCTGGCTTCCAGTTCCTGGGGAGCCATGCCTTTCATGGTCTCCATGCTGAGGTCCACTCTGGCCATGCCTGTCCTCCTGCTGGCCTGAAGCAGCCCAGGGGCCTTTTGTTTTGTGTCCGGACACCCCAGGGACCCAGTGGTCAGCAGCTGCCGGGTCAGCAGTTCCATGCCAACAAAGCATGACCGGCCACTGCTCCCTGGCCTGCGCTCCCGAGACATCAGCCGGGGGCCTCCAGCTGCCCCGCGGAAAGGGCTCTTTGGCTTGGTGGGGATCAGGCGTGCTGAGCTGCAGAGGGTGAACATTCAGGGCATTCTGAGTGGCCCTGGGCGGCTGCAGTGCAGAGGTGGGCAGACCCTGCAGCTGCCTGGACAGCACCTGGACCTGCCTGCCTTGCCCTGCTCCAGCCCCGTGGTGAGTTCTCCGACTCTGCATCAGAAGCAGGTGCAGATGGCCTTCTGTTGGAGGACATTCTGTCTGGAGAGACATGTCCAGCTCATTGATGCTCAGTGCAAACCTCACCGTGGCAGCATGCCTGGGTGCCGCTCGGGGCACCACCCATGTCCGGCCCAGTTCCCTCATGAGAACCCCTGGGCTGGGTATTGCTGCTCTTCCCATCTTACAGGTGAGGAGACCGAGGCCCAGAAGCTTGGGAAACCCCACGGTTACAGGGCTGGCCGGGGATCCCCTGCTCTTAGGGTCCCGCTAGCCCCGTGGCAGCATCCTGGCCCAGGGCTTGTTCTGACCGGAAGGCGCCGGCCCCGGTCCCTCCTCCAGAACTTCACCGTGAGACCAGCTGTCACCAGATGTGGAGCCTTGTGTGCGCCAGGCGCCCTGCGTGAGGCTCTGTTCCTGAGCCTTAGAGCACAGCCCCCTCTCTGGGCTCTGGGAGCAGGGAGGTGGGCGGCAGGGCCTATGCAGCCCTCCGGGCCCGGCCGCCTTGGCAGAAGAGTCATTTGATCCCTGAAGTGGTTTGGAGGGGGCCACTTGGAGGCCCACTGTTTTGAGGTTGGTGGTGGTTTAGTCTTGGCCCACGGGATGTGGCTCCGCCCCTCGTGCAGTCCCTCCCCAGGGCATGCAGTCAGGGAGCGGAGCACTGAGGAGGCTCCCGGCCCGGCTGGTGTTCGCCATCACCCACAGTCCCTCTGGCTGAGGCACGAGCAAGCGGTGTCCCCCTCAACACCGACTGTTGCACATGAGGCCTTGCACACCAGGCCCAGGGGCCCAGGTGTCCCTCCTCCGAACGCTGGGTCCCTGTTCTCCGCCCACAGGCTCCCGCTCAGAGGGCCCCCCTGGCCACAGCCTCCAGACCGAGGGCTCTGCCATGGGTCCCTGGCTGCTCTTGTGTCCCGTGTGGCTCCATGTTGAGAGCAGCCTGCTGCTGTGGGTGCATGCCCCTAAACCAGAGGCACCCCGTGTCTCCTGGCAAACATGTTGGTTGCATTACTTCTGGTCCTGGGGTTTGCCCACCTGCCCCCTGGGCATGGCCAGCAGCTCTGTCGCATGCAGCACAGGGACCGTGGGCAGTGAAAAAAGCGCCGGAGGGGTCTTGTTGGGGGTGACCTGAAAGTTGGCCAGAAGTCCCAGTGGCAGGGGAGGTGGGCCCCCAACACCCTGCCAGAAACCGACAAAGGAAGCCGGTTGGTCCCAGACTCAGAGAGAAACAAAAATAGAATGTTTGATTTAGTGTCCGTGTCACATAGTGTTACATCAACTTGCTTGTCAGATTTAGTATTTGTAGTTGATGGCATTTGGCAATGATTTATTGGCTATTTCTGGTACATGTGACATTGGCTAAGGTATTGGGGTCACCACTAAATCAGTCAGTGTTTTGTAGGGAATAACTTAAAAAGAAAAATCATAAAAAGTCCTCCAAAATGTTGCCAGAACAGCAGCTTCCCTTCGGGGGCTGTGGCTGCTTTGGGGCGGGACCTGAGAGGGGCTGGGGCCTCTGTGCCTCCCGAGGGGCACACCGTGAGAAAGGTGGGCTGGGGCACCAGCCCCACGGCTTCTGTTTCAGGCGGTTTCTTTCACGGCTGCTTCTCCTCTTTCGAGTTTCTGTTTGCCAAGTGCCTGGGTTCCGCGGCGGGCAGGCTCCCTGTTCCCGGCCGCCTCTCCCCCTCCACTCTCACCCTTTTTTCCTTCCTTCTTCCCCTGCCCCGGCCCCCTTGCCAAGCCTTGGCTTCTGTTTCTGGCTCCTCCTCTTTCACCTGCACTGTTCCGACCCTCTCCTTGGCCCCTGGTCCCTCTTTAGCAGTCTGTCTCCAGCAGCTGACAGGTGCCTGCCCAGAGGGTGCCGTGTGGGGCCATTCACCCCCACACCCTGTACCAGCTCCCACTTGGTCCAGAGAGAAGCCAGCGACAGTGAAACCTACCAGAGAGCTTTAGGTGGGACCCAGCAGCCTCCGGGAAAGCCAGGTGTTGAGCTGACCCAGTGCTGATTCAGCCCTTCTCCTGCTCACTCCACACTGAAGGCATCCACAGAGCTGGGCGGGTACTTTTTCTTTAGAGTTTGTCATCAGTTCTTGCTGCATTCTAAGCAGAGGGCATCCAGGGGTCCGGACAGGAACTGTTGATTTAATGGAACTCCAGGCAAAGGCTGAGGTCAGATGCCGAGGGCTGGTTCCGGCAGACTCCTGCTGCATGGAAACAGATAAACCAACCTTGAGCCAAAGGAAGGAAATTCCTTCACTTTACCTCCAATGAGACAGACATCCCGCTAACCCAGGAGACGGTCCCAAGTTCATTCAGGAGGCTGGCTGGGTTCTCTGTGACTGGGTGGCCGGGAGGCATTGTGGCGGCTCGGTGAGTCTGAGGACCCCTGCCAGGGCCCCTTGGTCCTGGGACCGGCTTCCTGGGGACCGTGGGTCGGAAGCAGGCATCTCAGGATGCTCACCTCTTGTCAGAAGTGCTTTTTCACTCTGAATGCGTGAAGTCTGACAGTGTGCTCATCATCACACATCTGCTCATTCATGCCTCGTCCGTTAATTCATTCAGCACATTATTGCTAAGCACTTACAGGCCCAGGCCGTTTTGGGCTCCAGGAAGCACTGGTGAATCGATTCATGATCCCACCCCTTAAGGACCACATGTTCTTATAAACAAATACATAAGCAGAAAGATTTCAGAAATAAACCGAGAGATGATAGATTGGTGAGTGCAGGGCACTATTTAGACAAAACGAGTTAGGGGAAGCGCAATGAGAGTGACCCTGAGAGATCTGCAGTGCCGGGGAAGATGGTTGCTGGCAGAGGTAGTGGCAGGTGCAAAGACCCCGGGGCAGGGAAGAAGGCAGGCAGTGTTTGGGAGCGAGAGGCCGCAGCCTGGCGGGAGTGTGCTGGTGGGGACGGGCATAGGCCCCGAGGCGCTGGAAGGCACCGCGTGCCCGTGCCCTGGTGTACACACCTGGGGATTTACTTCCAGTAGCTGAAGGTACACTGAGGGTTTTTTTTTTTCTGTCCAGACATCTCTGACTGGTAGAGAGGCTGTCGTCCTTCTAGAACATTGTACAGACGTAATCTTTTCACATTATAGAGGCAAATTCCCCATGGAGTCTGGTTTGCTATTTCTAGATAAGAACATGGCCTATCAGATTTTGTGGCCTGTCAACTCGCGCCGAGAAAAGGGAGTGCCCAGGGATCTTTCCTGAGTGGCGCCCCCTGCTCTTGCCCTCCGCTGGCCGGGCTTTGTCACTTCTGGGCAGACCTTCCTCGCCCTGGGGCCATTCACCGTTCGGCATGCTTCTGCCTGGCCCCCCAGGTTTGCGACCCAAGAGAGGAACGCCCTGCTGCTTTATAATGGCCGCTTCAACGAGAAGCACGACTTCATCGCCCTGGAGATCGTGGAGGAGCAGGTGCAGCTCACCTTCTCAGCAGGTAGGGCCTCCTTCTCAGGAGGGGGCGGCTCTCCGCGAGCTTCACGGACCCCTTGTCGGATGAAACCGCCCTAATCCTTCTCTGCTCCGCCAAGTGTGCTTGCCCACCGATCCCCTGGTTCCACCTCTGGGAACACGTCCTGTAGGAAGATCCAGAATGCCCAGAGATGTTCATGGCGGGGTTATTTATAGTGTCGAAAATGTGGAAGACATGCCTCGGGTTTCCAAAAACTGGAGAATTGTTGAAGTGTAACACATCCTTGAAGTACAAATACTTGCAAAGCCATTGACCATGTTATCCCAATTGTTGGAATAAAAGCATTTATCCAGAATGAAAAGGACTGTTAGCCCCAGTGGCCCAGTAACCTCTGTCTCTCTGCACCTCCCTGTGCCCCGCAGGTGAGACCACGACGACGGTGACACCGCAGATTCCCGGGGGCGTGAGTGACGGGCGGTGGCACACGGTGCAGGTGCAGTATTACAACAAGGTAGGACGGGATGTCCCCCTCAGTGGTCCCCGCTAGCCTGGGCAGCTGGAGGAGGGGCCCTGGCAGCTTTTCTTTTGTAAGACATTTATACTCTGAAAGTTAAGAAAATACTCTGGTTGAAAGACTTATTCAGGAAATGAGCATTTGTCGAGGGTCTGTGTAAATGTCCCCAAGGCCCGTGCAGGGGTGGCCTGTGCCTCCTGGAAGCTCTGGGCAGGGAGACACAGGGACCCAGAGGTCATCGTACCCTGGGAGGAGGGCACAGGAAGAGACGGTTCACTGCAGCTGTCTTGCCCGAGTCATTACTAGTGGCTGAAATTCTAGGCCATTCAAACACAACTCCAAAGCCAAAATTGCTCTTACCTGGAGGTAACCTGAGAGTCTGAAGGCCTCAGAGGAAATGCGCCGGAGGCACTGGCAGTTTGAATTTCATTTTATTTGCTGTTCACTGGCTGGTAAGGAAAAGTGCATAGTTTTTGCATCAAAATGGCCCACTTTCCATTGCTGTGCTTGTACAAACCTGGGGGAGTTTTCTTCCGGGGAAACTCCAGGGCCCCTCCCGCCATGGGTGGTACCGGCCTTGTGCGCCCCATCTGGAGCTCAGCCGGGGCTCCCAGGCTTCCTTGGGGCTCAACCTGAGCTGGGTTGGTGGGTAAGGGGACATTTCTAAGACGGCACCGTGGAAGACGTGTTTTCTGCCTCCCACATCTGCGGCATTTCAGGTCTGGACACACAGGCCTTGGGCCTGAGGGCTTGTGTCACGCAGGGCCCGCCCTCTTGCTGTTCTTAGCCCAACCTGTCATCGGCAGCACCTGGGCCCCTGGGGCCGTCCTTCCCGTCTGGCCTGCCCCAGCTGCCACATTTCCCAGGCGCCCTGAACGGCCCCCAGCAGTGGTCACAATGTACAGGTGTCCTATGTGGGGCGGGAGCTACCCTTGCCACCTGGCCCAGGGCAAGGGCCGCACAGCTTCTCTGTGCCTTACTCACCGTCGGGGCAAAGGACGGGGTCTGGAGAGTTTGGGATGCATACCTGGGGCAACGTGGGGCCGAGGGCTCTTTTGGGACACTGAGGACTAAGGAGAAGGTTTACAGGTGTGGAGACCCGCTGCCTGGCGACTGTCATCTCCTGGGGACAGTGGTGTGGGCGTGCACAGGTTGCCTGAGGAAGGGGTGTGTGTGTGAGTAGAGAGGGTGGTGTAGGGGCTGGGCAGCCGAATGGGTGGGAGACGGAGGACCTGTGCAAATGGAGGAGGCGTTTGCTATGACTGCCCTGCCCCAGAGACTGGAGTCTGCTCCTGAAGTGGGGTAGCAGTTTGGGGTAATTATTAGCTGGAGGTGCACCCGCCCTCCCCTGCCGCTCACTTGGGGGGCAGCGCCCACCCTCCCCTCTAAGCTCTCAGGGGCTCGAGGATGCCGTGCCATTTGGGACTTCCTCTCTGTGGTGCCTTAGGCTGCATGCCATGCTTTCCCCCAGTGGATGCCCCTTAGGCCTGTCACACCCATGTCGCTGCTCTGGCGAACAGCGTCCTGCCTCTTGAGGTGCCCCCAGGGCACCCTGTTTGAGTTTTCCTGCCCCTCCACCCCGCAACTGCACACTAGGTCATTTCTGTCCCTTCTCTCTCACCTTGGACAAAGTCTGTCCTGCAAGCCATTTCTTGCCATGTGGCAGTGAGGGATGACAGCTTTCTCCTGGGCACAGGTGAGAAGACTGTCCTGTGTCCTAGAGGGTCAGGAGCGCCCGAGGACAGGGCCACAGCTGTGCGACTCTGTCCCCAAAGCATCAGGCACATCCTTCTGGGCTCAGATATCAGGGCCTGAATCTGCTCCGGCCAGCAGGACAGTCAGGTGGACATGGCACCCTCCCCAGTTTCTCTGTTCACATCTCAGGACAGCTGTCCCATAGCCGGGCAAGACTGGCGAGGACACAGGATGGCAGCAGAGCCCCTGTGAGGCCCAAGGGCAGGACCAGGGCCAGTGGTTTTCTGGCCCAGATGCATCCAGGCTCTTGTTGTGATATTGCCCACACCCTTGAGCAGAGGGCAGGAACAGCGAGCTCTGGAGTGGACACACCGTTTGCTTCTCCAGGGGCAGGAGTTGCTCTCTTGCAGGAACGTTCTGTGCTGCAGCCTGGCCTTGGCACACCTCGGAGCCAGTGTGCCCAGCCTCTGGCCCTTCTCCTGTCACTGGCTAGCTGGACACCAGCAATCAGCGGTCCCCAGTGAGGTGTGTTTCCTGGGGGCTGAGCACCTGGCAGGTTGTAGGCCAGTCGGGATGGGCCAGGGGACCCTCTGGGGCCCATTGTCCATGCAGAGAAGCATAGATGTGCACAAGCTGCATTTTCCTCCCGGTTTGTATGGGAAACATTGCCCAGGGTTGCACTGAAGGCATTTGGCTATGGGGCTGGGTCAGCCTTGGTGTCCCCATTAGAGCATCTGCATGCAGCGTGTTCCAGAGTCATCGTCAATGGCCGAAGCAGCAGTGTGTCACAGTGGGGCGGGGGCGGGACCCCTGGCGTGGCTGCCCCTGCCCAGGTCTCAGTGCATTGTCCTCAGTGGTCACTCTGCAGGCAGGGAGCGTCGGCCAAGGGCCTGTGCGCTCACAGCAGCCCAGGAGTGCACTTGCCACTGAAGATCACCCCAAATGGCTCGGAGAAGGGGGCTGCACGTGAGGAGATGGCCGGTGGGGATCTCACTGCCATGCACCACTTCCCGCTCCACAGAGCCTGAACCAGGCCTTGGCATGGGATTGGGCCCATCCTTCCCCGCAGCTCAGCCATTTCCTTTCTTGCCCGAGGTTACTCTGTGAGGAAACCAGTTTTCCCTTCTCTCTTCAGGCCTGTGTCACGGGGTTCACCTTGGTCCCTGGAGATCACGCATATCGGTCTCCCAGGAATCACCTGCTGCTTCTGCCCAACTTCTCGGCGCCAGGGGCTCTTGCTTCTCCAGACGAGGTGACGGCCTCGGCAAGCAATGGAGGAGGCGTTTGCTATGACTGCCCTGCCCCAGAGACTGGAGTCTGCTCCTGAAGTGGGGTAAACTTCTCGGCGCCAGGGGCTCTTGCTTCTCCAGACGAGGTGACGGCCTCGGCAAGCAATGGAGGAGGCGTTTGCTATGACTGCCCTGCCCCAGAGACTGGAGTCTGCTCCTGAAGTGGGGTAGCAGTTTGGGGTAATTATTAGCTGGAGGTGCACCCGCCCTCCCCTGCCGCTCACTTGGGAGGCAGCGCCCACCCTCCCCTCTAAGCTCTCAGGGGCTCGAGGATGCCGTGCCGTTTGGGACTTCCTCTCTGTGGCCCAGGCAGTGCTCAGTGGGTTGCAAGCACACTGTGGGGGTCAGGAAGCTGCTGGCCCAGAGCCCAGGCACCCCCAGAACAGGAGATGCAGGAGCTCTGAAAATGGCCCGTGAGGGCCGAATCGCCCTGCTCAGGCCCCCGTTTCTGCATCTGTGCATCTCGGTCCTCAGCCTGCGGAGCTGAACTCCCTGGGCACTAACCTTCGTGAGCACGCTGTGCCCACATCACCTGCTTTCCTTTTATTAAGAAAATGTATCTGAATAATTTGGCATCGGCATCCCAGCCAGAGCAGAGGCACCGACAGCCAGAGGCCTGCACCTTCTGCCCCCCACACCCCACTCTGCTGTTGTCCGCTGGGCCCGCCTGAACCCCCATTTCTCCGAGGTGTGGCCTGCTCTGCATTTCTGTGCATCCTCTGTGGGAAACCTCTGGGACCCCTGGGACCCTGCTTCCAACAAGTTGGCTGGAGTGTGGGGTCTGGGACCCCATCCCGGCTGTTTTGTCAATCAGGGTCCCCACAGGAAATGGGGGAGCTTTCAAACAGGATGGTCCCAGGAGGTCTTTGTAGCAGAGGTGCAGTTATGGGGCACCCTCGGGGGCTGGTGTGAGACCCAGGCTGGCGGCGGCAGGTCTGTGACCACCTTAGACCTCAGGAACAAGGGGAGAGAGCAGAGTGAACCTGGAAAGAAGGGTCCCGAGAGAGAAGCCCCTTACGCACAGCAGCGACCCCCAGCAGGGCCCCTCCCCTGATCTCTTGGTAGGCTTCCCTTGGCCCAAGTCTGCCAGAAGCCAGAGGACAGGGAACCCCTCTAGAGCCCGTACAGGTCGGCCTCCCTGGCAGGGAGCAGGGCACAGTCCATTTCCACTGCCTCTGCTTGAGGACATTTTTTACAAGGGCCGTGGGTTTATTTTGCCTCTAGGGAGGCCAGGAACATGCTGGAGTTAGGTGTACCTGCTGGGAAGGTATTTTCAGAAGCAGACACTTGGCACGGGCATGCTGAGCTTTGTCAGGCCTGGATGAAACGGCAGCGCCCTCCTCCCACCTGCCACGGGGGCCGGGGGCCAGCGGAGTGTCTGTGGTCGTCATGTTGTGGCAGCTTTCCTGCGCCACGTGGGGCGGGGGGGGAAGCCGCTCCCTGTGCAAGCTCTAACGCGGGCGCCTCTGCTGTCCTGGAGAGGGTGGTGGAGGGGCCGCTGCACACACTGAACACCTGCCGTGTGCCGGCCCTGCTCTCACGCTGGGTGTCTGGAGAGATCACATCAAGACCTCCTCCTCAGCCTGGGGCTCTCAGCCTGGGGTTGAGGGCACACCCATGTCATCAATGTCACTGAGGAGATTGTGGGGACACAGGAACGGCTTGTGCCCACCTTGGTCGTGGAGTTGGGGAGTGTCTTCCCAAGCCAGCTGTGCCCACCTGTGTTCTGCAGGGCGACCCCTGACCTGCCAGAAAGACGTGGATGCCAGGGATGGGGGCTCCTATGGAACCTAACCAGGACACGCCTAACCTAACCTGACAGTGTGGCCTGTCAGGGCGTAGGGTGTGCTGGGAGAGAGGGTGTCCAGCAGGGTCGGACCTCCTGGGGCTTTAGGAGGAGGTGAGGCGGGTGCAGCCGGGTTTCTCCCCCTTGGCACTAGTGCTGTCTGACAATGGGGGAGCATTCTTCGTGGGGGCCTTGGTGGGCACTGCAGGCTGCTGAGCACCAGCCAT